TCCCGTACAGGCCTGAAATTTTTTTCAGGTCTGATTTTCACTATTGCTCAAATAGTGCTTTACTGCGAAGGATCGTGCACATATACGTTTCATAACCGCAGTTCATACATATGTTTCATATGTTTCTTGTTGTTTGATATTCGGATTATGTTTGAAAATGGTGAATTAGTGGTATGTTATGCGGAAGTCTCGGAACATCGTCGGAAATGGGGCTTTAAAGTATTTCTAGAACTCCCAAACTTCACATGGTACGACTGTGAGTCACAGCGATGGAGAAAAATCTCCACTAATGGCCTAATATTGTAACGAGATGTTTCTTAGGAGCGAAGCCTTCGCTTCGCCCATAACGGAGACATGGGTTTGAGATTAGTATGCGGCCACCTTTCCACAACGGCAACTTCTTTATGTCCCGCGGATGGTACCTGTATTTATTCATCCATATTTGAACCTTCCCCCAGCGGCGAGGACCACTAAAGCAAGGGTCAACTGCAAAATATATCGATTACGGCATTTTAATCATCAAATCACACGTTTCCTCAAAATGGGCGATATCTGCAAAAGCGGACGATCCATGCTTCACGCCAGGAATGTTTGCACCTTACAAACATTGTACTCTTTCTGCTCTCCATCAGATCTGTGAAGTAGCGGCCATGAGATACAAACAGTGGAAGAACAGAGAGCTCCGACAGCGACAGAGAGCAAATTACAAACGTCTTTGGAGCCACTTGCCTTTCATACGAGCCGTTTTGCAGCTGATGGTGCTGGTTGTTATTGAAGAATTGCATCAGCTTCCAAGGAACTCGGAAATAATACATAGAAGCGCATTCATCAAGTATGCAGGCCGTTTGTATTTCTATATTTTTAATGAAAGATGTGGTAATTTGGGAGCTTAAAGTATATTGTAAATGTCAAATTAGTCTTCTCCTTAGCCTCCATACGTGTTCTTAGTGGGGTTTATGAAAACTCCTAAATCAAGGCAAGCGAACCGCGCGGAGCGCGGGAAAACGTCAGGGCGAAGTCATGATTGGTTTTAGCTTGGCATCTGATTGGTCGAGAGGGTTGCGCGAGTTTTCTTAGACCAATCACAAAGAAAAAATAAAAACAGATGGAAAACTCTTACAATCCCGGATTTCTTTCGACATAAAACAGATATCAAGTCGAAAGAAGTAAAAACTAAAGGGCAGTATTTTCTCTGTGTCTTATTTTATGAGGTTAGGAGGAAGGAGGAGCTGAGGTTCTTAAGAGTGTTTACGGTTTCTCTTTCATTTCTTTCTTCCACTCTGTACTTCGCTTGTGGTACTGATCATGTCTGTTTTTATTTTTTTACGTTTTCATACAATCTCTCTTCTTAGGGTTACTTTTTAAAGCCAAAGTAATAGATTAAATTATTTATTTTCTTTCGACAGATTCTTAAAGCGATGTCTTCAATGCAGTGAAAATATGGAGTCGTTATCCAGCAAGTCTAAAAACAAATGGGACGAATGCAGTACTGTTGGAGAAACATTTGTGGATTGTGTGCATGGTTATTATAATGAACATCGACATAAATTGGTGTCATGACGACCTTCGAAGTCCACTTTACGGTCTCTTTACTGTATTTCTCAACCTGGATTAAGCGCCCACCCTTCGAATAAGTGCGCTCCCCCTCCTTCCAAAAAAGGAAAATTACTGAAAACTGTTCAAGAAGAGACACCTCGTTCCCAGGGTCTCTCATCTTCCCGCCGCCTCTCGCTCCAGGGGGCGGAAAGATGAGAGACCCTGGGAACGAGGTTTTAAGAAGAGTATCTATTATCATTTCCATGCTGGCTTACAATCTCTAAATTAACTATGTATGGTTCATCTTCACGTGTTATTTTTTATTGTTTTGTTGCAAAATAAACGTATTACTTGTGAAATTGGGTAGTGAAAATTGAGTAAGTAACCAGCCTCGAGTATGCTTTTCCCTCGGATAAGCGCCCACTCCCAAAGTCCAAAAAATAAATAAACACCAAGGGAGCTTAATCGAATAATAATTACGGTACGTAAAAAACACAGGATAAAAGAGTTGTATGAAATTTTTTATCAATAAATTATTTTATCAATATATTATTGACAGAACTTTCAAGCGGTATCTTGACGGGTCTCCCTCTCAAAAAAAGCCGGAACATTAATGATGACAATAATACACGTTACCTTAAACTCACTTTTGTTGGCTATTATTCAAAATAGCGAACTTTAACTCCGACAACTCACTATGCGCTCTTGCAAATCGGACCTAAATATCAAACTAGTTTTCACTTCTTTTAAAATTAAAAACATGTTTAGTGTTAAAGATCGTACTCCTGATGCTCTAAGATCCATGGTAGTTTACCAATTTTCTTGTGTGGGATGTAATTCCCGTTATATTGGCGAAACTACTCGCCACTTTTCAACTAGGATAAAGGAGCACACGGAAAGCGATAAAAACTCGCATATTTTTAAGCATTTCAGCACATCTCCCTCTTGTAAGAACAAATACTCCCCTTCTTGTTTTAGTATTCTGGATTCTGCTAACAACTCAACTGATTTAAAACTCAAAGGAGCTTTTTATATATATAAGATCAAACCTGAACTTAACAAACAATTACAGCATTATAACACTTTTCTAGCGTTCTAGTGTACACCTTTGATGTTTTGGTGTCACGTTGTAATTAGTACCCGCTTTTGTATTACATCATATTGTAAATAATTTATTCATCTACTTGTATACTATATAATTGTTCACACTCAGTTACTCATTGACTGAAGATGGCATATGCATGCCGAAACATGGCTTTCAAAAAAGTTTTATATTTCTTACAATATCTATCATACTTGCTATTATTGCGACCTTATGAAAACAACACTTGCCATCCCTTTTTCTCAGTAATGTTGTTAATAATATAAGTGTGGACATAATTTCTGACCAAGTTTTCCTATTTCGGTTACAATTTTTCAGTTCTAACCTATACCGTTTCTTTGTTACATCACACGCGCTAGTCACGTGAATTATTACGTCATAGGTTATCAGTCAAGAATCAAATCGTAATTGATATGTAAACACTAAACTAGTATTGTACAAACCGTGACTATTTTACAGCATGCAACCTGCCTAAAAGGATAAAAACAAAACTCAGGTTATTGATGCTCTCTCTCAAAATATTAACAGAAACAGTGAATACGAGAAGAAGGAGGAGAGACTCTTCAAGCCTCCACTGACAGTGACTCTTTCTTCAAGGTGTGAATTACGCACGTAATTTTTTTTTTTTTTTTTTAATTTTCAGAACTTCAGATCAAACTTTTAAGCACTTTCATTGCCGTCGGTGTATATCTTACTCATCCGAAATCAACTTCGGTTCTATTTGATTTTCCTTATCTGTGGCAGGTTCTACACTCTTGAATAATAATGTGAAGAATTTATCCTATACGAAGGAATTCCGTCAAAAAGCTAAAAATAACCTCAAATATAGATGCATCAGTAGAGAAATCGAAATTACTGGGGTATCATACGCTTTTCTATAAAACCGTAAAACTAGGAATCGCAACAGGTAATCGCGACAGGGGAATAGAAGGAGTCAATTTCGGTTAATAGAAAAACCAAGCGAACTACCAAAAGCGCGGGAAAAATCGAGGGAGTAAGACGCAGTTGGTTTTACTTTTGCATCTGATTGGTTGAGAGGGAGGTGCGGGTGTTCTACATTAACCAATCACAGAGCCAAGTATTAGAAATCAATCATATCCTGGATTTCTTTTGAAACCCAATTGAAAATTGTTCCATACCAGGTGTCCACTGAGGGCTCCCGTCTATCATGAAATGGTAAGGTTTGTACATTTGGCAAGTAAGAAAGGGCGGAAGGCAACGAAAAATCATGTAACTACCTACTCGTGAAACTTTTGGATTAGTGCTACGATGAGAACAAGAGCTGGCACAGGATACGCACCCTTGTGTGTCCCAGGGACTCCACTAGGACAAGACTTTGGCTTTGGCGCGAATTTCATATCCAAAATTCGCTTGAGGGTGGCAGGGAAATCTGTAAAATAACCATCAACCTGAAGATCAAAAAACTTTTGATACTCATTATAAGGGTCCTGAGTGTAATTCCACGCCAAGTATTTGTCTTCATTCCTGAACGTGTAAGTATGGACTACCAGGTTATTCTTGTGCGCATTGGCGAGGAGATCTGTTGTTTTCTGTAGATAATGATCGCGCTGTGGTATAATCAGGTTCTTCCAAACACCAATACCAGCACAGATAGAGGAGAGTTCTTGGAGCTTTTCTTCAGGGAATGGATAATCAAAGAGTTTCACCAAAGGCAGTTCGGTTTTCGTCTTCAACTCTCTGATGCTTTTCTCACTGAAAGACTGTACATAACAAGGCGAGTCTTTTTTAGTATATTTATTCTTGTGTAAAACCTCAAGAACCACATCTTCGAAAGTAGTGTTTTTATCACGCAAAATGTCCAGCGAATTGACCCACTCTGGATTTTTTATCTCAGGGTATATTCCTAGAACTCTGTTAGCAGATTTGGCGACGTCAATGTATTCCTGAAGTGTAGGAATTTTAAACAAGCCGTTAAAACTTGGATCTCTGAATGAATACTTTTGATTAACACCGATGGTTTTGATCTCTGCCAGAGTGAGATCTACTGTGAAGATGTCGGTGATATTCTTAGTGGTGTTTGATGAAGGCGAGAAAACGCTGTAGGTCTTCACTTTGGAGCGAAGGGCTTGGTTGTTCCAGACATTGGTGGTGTGATTCAGCCAGCTCTCGTGGCGGCAAATAGGCACCAGATCTTTGGTGATGCAGACATCACATTCAATGTAGTCTGCTCCATCGTCAACACCCAACCTGTCCAAAACAGTGCTGGATCAGTCATCATTTATCTCTTGGGGAGGAGTGAAGGGGAGGCGCGCGGAAAGTCTTTCGGCGGGGTCATACAGTTGTAAGGGGGGAAGAGAGAGGGATCAGTCGTCGTTAACAGAGTAGGGGAAGGGAGGTATGAGAATAGTGGGGGACTTAAGGGGCTTCTGAATACCGCAACACCGCAAACAAAACAGAACAAACACAGCATCACTGCAAGAAATATCATCAACGCACCTACACATAGTCTTAGGATTTATCTGGTCTGGTTTCACTCATCTTTACCCCCCACTGGTCTTAAGCTGGCCGATAATGCGTGTGGTACAGGACCAAAGGTCAAGTAAAATATAAACGAACACGGTCTGGGGTTAATGAGCTAATGTTTATTCAGGATTAACTTAATTTATTAGATTCGCCATCAGGCAGGGACTTTAACTCGGAAGTACTGCTTCTTTTGTGCGACGATTAACCACGGTTAAAGAATAAACTGCAACACCAGAAATTGCTTGAAATTACAAACATCGTACACCATAAGCTTTGAGATCAGCGCAACACCGCAATGCAAGTTGTTCTTCACCGCAATACCGCATTAAAAAAAGGGTCAACACCGTAAACCCTAATTTCCTCCTCAGAATATTATAGAGCCTCATTGGGGAATCAAGTAAGTTTTATCGCAACGTATCCAAAATCCTGCGAACCTTCCCCCCCCCCCATCCCCTACCCAGACGATAAACATGACTGGTCTTCAATTCAAATTCAAGCGAGCATGGGTTTACGTACATCAATCGAGTTTTCAAGGTCTCTCTTGAAAGGTGCCAGTAGATTAAAATGGACATGAAAAGGACATAGATTGTTTACAGCGGATATATTATGGTTAGGAAGCCTCTTACGCGATTGGCGAATGACGATGGCTTTAGACTCACCCCAGTTTCCCTGCCTTGAAGCTAGGGCGAGTTCGCTTGCGATTGTTTATTCAACGGAGGGAGTGGGGAAAGACGAAATGTCTATTTCCCCATCCCTCCCCTCTCCTTCTTTTTGACCGTCGCTCACCCCCCTTGGTACAAATTTCTTTCTCTTTCCAGCCTCCCAGAAGATGGCAGCCATAATTTTCACCAAGGCAACAGTGAGTACCCGCCCGCCGAAACTACGTCTGCTCTGCAGGCTAGAATGTTATGTCATCTGTCCCTCATCATTAAGTGAGTTACAATGAGGGCTCAAAAATGTGCTGCAATGTTTACATGAAAATAAAATGTCTCGTGCGTGTGATGGCAGTAAAGAAAGAACTAACAAAAGAAATAAAAGAATAGACGCAAAGTCAAAGGAAACAATGAATAAATATCTGAACAGGCCATGTATTACGACGAAACCACACTCTCTCGGATGAAAAATCAAAAACAGCAAACCAACCTCCCCGTGCTATTTGTTTTGTGTAGCGCTTGTCGCATGAGAAACGTGGTATTAATTTCTCTGTTGCTCAGATTGTTCTCAAAGCAACGTTGAACGAAATCACAACTGGCTAGGGTTCTAGTTTCTATGGAGAGCCCAGATTTTGGAATCTTTCAAGCTGCTAATAGGTCCTTGAAATATTTTAATTGTTTCGAGCCGTTTCATGTTTTTACGCCGCGGCTTACCCGTAAATTCTTTCCTACGAAAAATTAGAACAATGTGTATTCAAATGCAAACAAAGTTCGTGAACAAAAAGGCCTGGTTTACAAACAAATGTACTCAAATTTCGCGTCTGGTTTCCTTGCCTTCCGAGGAAAGACAAACCTTAATTTTCAATATGGCTGGCTGAAAGCATTAATCCCCTCAGTATTGTCAACTTAATTTGCTCAACTTAAAGACGACTCAATTTTTTAAATACCGGTAAAGTACTAAAGAGTAATCTATTGTCTTTCGTGTTACAAATCACAAGGAAAAAACTAATTAGTTAATTTTCTGTTGTTTTGTTTTCCGTGTAAACTGAGTTCTCATGTAACTTTAACTAAGCGTGCGAAGCGGTTCTTTAGTCTTCAGTGCCAACTTTCGTGCGGAAACACGAACTTAGGAATCGTCCTCCTTCACACAGGTCTATATACGGCTAGCCCAATATACATGTATCTTGGTTTACATTTTTTCTTCAAGGGTCAACCTGTTATGATTAAATTAGTTTCGCCATAAATATTCATTTCGACCCGTATATGGCTACTGCAGTTTTGGTTTGTTAAATACGAACCGAAAATCTCTGCAATAGCTGTCGCCTTTTTTGATCAGACGATGCCCGATCCTACCTGTAAGCCTCTAAAGTGTGTTCGGGTAACCTGCCAGAGCTGCCACGATGTGCGATATTCAACGGCCTGACTACTGGTTTTTGTGCAAAGGATGCTATAAACGATAACAGCAACAAAAACATCGCGTGTTTTTCCATGATTTCAGAACTGTAATGTCACGATCGAAGTACCTTATTTAGGTACGTCCGAGGTAACACTGCAAACGGCTGATCGGACAACAACTGGAGATTGTTATATTTATAGTTTGTGAAAGAGGGAGACTTTGATCCCTCGCGAAAGTCACACCACATCTGGTGGCATGATTTAATAGAGCTGTCAATCAAATTTATGAGGTATTGTGTCCCTCCAAAGGAGGCACTCAGACATGTCTAA